AATCACAGGAATAGCATGGAATAGCCTACCAGCCGCTTCGTTGGCAAATACGCTCATGCCCTTGGCCAGATCTGCTCTGAAAAGTATCAGGGTTGGAATGGTTGGAATATAGTCTTCTCATGTCTTCTCTAGGAGAATGTACCACATCTGCTCTTGCAGGCCAAACATGAGCTGAGTCTGGGCATACCATAGCTCACCATGAACCAAGACTCCTGTCATAAAGTCAAACTGGTGCTCTTTTTGCACACCACGTGTTTTGAATGTTTTTTATCAGGATTTGAATGGGCTGAATGAACATACAAGTATGGCAAATCAGGACGAGTGCAATTGAGGTCGCCAACGTGGCTGTTCTGAATGAAGACTGAATTTGAAATAATTTGAATACAATGCTAGATAATGCAACACATAACAGTAGCACGGAATGGCTCAAAATAGGAGTACAGTACCAATAGACTTGCAATATTGTTCATTCTACAATATATATTCTGATATAATTATATAGGTAATCGTCCAATTTTGGGGGTAAATTATTTTGAGCAACGGCCATATATACGATTAAAACATACCTATAAATCTGAGAGAGTTGGTAAAAAAAACACCGAACGAAGATTATGGGATGGCAGTGCCTTGCAAGCGCAATGGTTTCAGCTGTAGCCAGGATAAAGTCCCGCATGTGGGGCAATTCCTGGTCTGGTCACAAAATTGATAGTCGCTTGGCAAATCTTGGCAATCACTTCGCAGGCCATATCACCAACATGACTATCAAATTATGAAATACTATCATGCCTCTGTTTCATAGGCAAAGCGTCACTCTGAGAGCATCCAAAGTGCCAGAATCGTACTTTTCATACTCGACTGTTCATTTGTTGCACCAGGGAGTAGAAACCACGGGGATATTCATGGTCCCGTCATCTCATGTCTATCAATCAAACGAATCGCTGCAAGTAGGAATCTTCAACCACTGTAACTAAGTCCTAAGAATTTCTAAGGTCTGTATTTGGACAGCAAAGTGACCCTGGAACCCTGTCCTTGTGGCCCATATCAACAGTGGCAGGGCGAAATATCTGGCAAATTGAGAGGACAATGCAATGCATGTCGAAATGCATTGATTTGAAGTATGTTGTATCAATGGGAGGAAAGAGCTTCACTCATTGCCTGTCTGAGGGGCAGAGTGTGACACAGACCCACTGTCTAGGACGATTTCCTTTATTTAGGGTAAGAAGAACCTTTATATCATACTATATCATACTATATCTAGACATTTGCATTATTTCCTACTGAATGATCTCAACCACGTTGCTCCAATGGAACATTATGTTGACAACATGCAGGCACCAATATCAGCATGTCTTGCTGTTAGGGGTTTACTCAGCTACTTTCTATATTCATCATTATTCATCATTATTCATCATTATTCATCGTTATTCATCGATTAAGTCTATATATAGTCTATATATAGTCTATATTCTCTATTGAACAAACCTGTATCGACGTTTATCGAGCAATCGTCCTGGTCATCCAGGTCGTGCGATGTCGTGTATCTCTAGCGGGGCCTGTCTTCCTGCGGCAATAGCTTCATCAAGCGCAGTAGCCAAGGAACCATCCTGCCGGCTCCGGCTGAATCTGGGTGGTCAAATTGATCCGAATTGTGACTTCGTGAAGACAAGAAGTGCGCACTGGTGAAGACTGCACTCCTCCATCAGGTCAGCCACTTTAGTAAGCCCTTGCAGTAGTCCAGACATGAGAGTTGTCTTGTCAACTTGGACGCCACAGCTCAGCCTCAGCAACCACGCAATTCTGCATCATTTACCCATGGTTACGATGTATTCCATTCAGAGCTGTTTAAATATGTTGGCGCCAAACCCTACGTTCGCCAATGCCGAACTAACACACCCAAACAATATCACGTGTCATCAAAGGATGAATGAAAACACTGGCTATACGCAGCTTTGGTTTTTAGGAATTAGGGCTCTAATTTAGGATTTGGGTTTTTAGGCTTGTAGGGTTTTGGGTTTTTGGGTTTTGGGTTTTGGAAAATAAAAAAACGCTAGCCCTACGAAGGGATTTGAGCATGTCAAAGGATATGCGGGATCCGATGCGGGCAAACGTGGGGTTTGCAGCGAAGATGTTTAAAGAGTATATTATAAATATTATATATATATAATTATATATTAATATATTATGTAAACATTATGTAATTTTGCAACACCGAGCCTTGCCATGACCTCTGTAGGGAGAACACGGAGGGGAAGACATGTCAAATTTGTATCACTGCAACACAGCAACATGAAACACTCAGAGACCTTGTCCAGGCTGGAACTCACTAAAGCAGAGTCCTGACACAAGCCAAAAGAATCTGGAGGGTCAAACACACTAGATGATAAATCTAGATAATAGATGAAGTATAGCAAGTATAGCCAAAGACTTGGCACATGTGTATTCACAAACATTGATGTCTTATCAAGCAGCGTGTTTTGTTATTTCAGGCTGGATGCCAATGGTCTCATGGGTATCACTCGGCATCAAAGATTGAGTTCCTAGGGTCCCAAATCCAGAATGACCTAGAGCCCCATGGAGTGATGATTTGTGAATGGACAAACTCCCGAAGCGATTGAATTTCTGCGCGTGTCTGCAGAAAGTCTGGTCCTGCCATTGTTTGCGGAAAACAGCTTCTGACAACTCTTTCAGCCGTGACAGGAAGCGTTCTCGGCCAGGGCCTGATATCAAAGCAAGGGATCATTTCATAGTGTAGTGCACACAAAACGGTCACGAACACTTTTTTGCATAATTGGCCTGCAGCCACAATGGGTGCAACTGCTTGGTCAATTCCAACCACCCTGTTCTCTTTGACCAAGTTGTCTAGCAACATGAGGTTCGCAGTGTTTCCTGGCAGTGCTGACACATCAAGCCATCAAAAGTGCTGACCGCAAAGAAAAGGTCATACATCCCGGTACTGACAGAAGCAGAATGCGGAACAGTTCGAAGCTATTGTTTTTTTTGCACCGCAGGCCGACTGTGCAGTCAAGATAGGAAAAGTAAGCTCTTCAGAGAAAGTCAGCGCTGGAAGAGATCCAAGGGATTCCAAGGGACTGTAAGGAAGAGCAGACCGTGCTGACATCTGAAGACTCCAACTATTGACGCGACACTTGCTGCTGTCAGGAGGTAACAAAGTGCTGAGGCTTGTGGTGGTATCTTGTTGCCCGTAGCATATCAGATTCCTGTTATTTCCTGAGCAGTTGAGCTAGGTTGAAATTATATTAATAGACATCTTTTGATGTGCTGGATTATACTGGGAAGATGGGTTGGCTGGAGACATTGAAATCCAAAGATCGCACTATTCCTTCGGCAGTATTTGTTCATGCATTTCTTTCCAAGATAAGAAGCCATGGGGACATGCGGACAATTTTGTTGCTCCTCTGTCCTTCACAACAACCAAGATAATGAACGTGTTTCATGTTTTGATCTGCCTGCTCGTCCCTAAGTACAACTGTCACAACTCATTTTGCATTTGTCCAGAAAGGAGAATTTTTATCGGAAGAACCAGCGTCGGTGATTCGGAAGAGGGAACGAACACAAAATAGATCAAAATAGAGATGCCCGGCTGATTCACTTGCCCAGGACCCAGGATTTCCAAGTCCTTCGTTGTCCCAAAGTAGAGGAATCCGATCAACGTTGTTGATCAATGCATCGTAGGCGATGATCTCCCCTACCTGTCCAAAGATTTTTTTTCTGAGGTCGGCTTTCTGTACGCAATAATTTGGAAATATTTGGAACAAACACTCCCGGCAAAGTCTGGGTAGGATATGCTGGAAAAGAGATCCTCCAAATTCTTGAACGACACCTTTGATCAAACGCAATCAAACATAACATAATCAAACAATATAGAGTGATTCGTAGCTGTCACTAGCTTTTAAGATGAAAAATGAATGAACATGATGGAAAGCGCAAGAGGCGGAAGAGGCCACTCAGCACTTAAGGATATTACATCAGTACATACTATATACATACATCCGAATCTACATACACTATCACTCTATATGGATGACTATGGATGTATATGGATGAATACGGTCCATGTATTGTTTCAGAATTTACATATCACATAAATACATAATAGATTTTGCATGATATTGCCATTTACTATTTGGCACGTAATGTCATGTAGTAGCCCTCCACCTCAAACCAGAATTTCTGCAAGGAATCTGGCTCCATGTCCTTAGAGAACGGCGTGCCATGTCTTCAAATGCCGCAAAATTCGAAATGGATCGAAATGTCAAGCTGAGTCAAGCTGGAAAGCTCAGCAAGTGGACCAAAGATCCCTGAAGCACTGTCAGATACTGTCAGTCCAACCAGCTGAGACTCTTGGAGCCGATGCTGAAATTCAGGCCCCTGAACAGTACATCCGGGAATGTACTCCAAAATGCCCAAAAACTCGGTGCTCCTCCAGGGACTCCAGATTGTGCCGCATTTGGCATGTAGCAGCAATGTAGCATGTGATACTTGTGAAACAAATGCAATTTGTGCCTACACTGCCCATCATGCAGTTCTTTCGCTGACGGGTCGAACATTCGCTCGTGATCGTTGAAGCAAACTACACGCTACAAGCCGCTACAATGTTTGATTGTTGATGTTGAGTCAGTGCAGGTTCCTTCTACAGACATTTCATATCTCGAACTTGGTGACATGATCCCGTGCTCGAGGCACACCCAAATAATTGACAACGTAATTACATGTAATTACGAGTACCACACATGCAACTCCTCCAAATCCCCAGGAGGGGATTCTTTTCAAAGGATGAAGTCTTGCGAATGGCCGCCTTACATTTCAGACAACAGGATCCCACCCCTGCTAGTGGCAAGGATGTGCAAGCTATGACAAGAGCGAGTACCCCATGATACACTCACATTAAACTATTCAGCTGAGAGCAAGAAGCAAGGAAGCATCAACATCGACTTGGCCGTGTCCACCAGCAACCATAGACTCTTCATGCTGTCGCATGGTTTTCGCTTCATCTTTCCACTTTGTATTTTTGTCACCGACTGGCTCATTCTACGCAACCACTGCCAAGCCAGCAATTCTATGCACGGTCAAATTGCCTTCCTCTACTCATCGTAGGTTATATACATAAGTCACAATTTGTGCGAACCAAAATGCAGCAAACCGCTTTGCAGTCTGCGCAAGGCTGCAAAGTCTGACCAGTGCAAGTTTCTCCAGAAGAGTTTGCGACACACGCAACGAATGCCTTGCATTAGCAAGACTCCCAAATGTCTCCCAACAGCCTTTGGTTTCTGGCCAAATTCTATCAATTTTTCATAATTTTTCTGTTCAGCCTTCAAAAGTCTGGAATTGGGCCCCTTGGGTGAGCTCTAGCTGCCGGTGGCACTGGTGCAGCAGCTCCCACAACTGGCGGTGAGGGTCGCCCACCAGCAAGCGCGCAGGCTGAATAAGCGCACCTTGTGTACAAGTGGCACATTGCGTCACAAGGTGACAGATCGTCAAACTCGCAAAAAGTGACAGATCATGACAGATCCATCAGATCCAATATGTTCACACTTTGAATTTCAATGAATTTCCTGCGCGTATGGCTCAAATGTGCGTGCCTCCAAACCTGGATGGCTACCTTCATATTAATATATTACTACGTACAGTAAAATGTCCTCACTGTCTAGTTCATGATCAATGCTGCAGCAGCAATCGCATGCGCACGGTATCTGCACTGCAAATACTTGCTCCTGCTGCCTTTTGCAACATATTGCAAAACTCTGTTTGCTAGGAAAAACATCGAAGCATTGGCGTATCCGTAGGAGATTGATACATAGATTGTTTTGTGATTTGTTGGGTAAACTGAGCGGGGCCGGCGCACTGCCATCCAAGGCAACCCCCTAAATGCAGTTGCAAAAAATATCAAAAAACAAGAGAGGTGGGGTAGGCAATGGAAAGCTAAACAATGCCAAACATATATTCACATATAATTATATAATAAGCAAACGGGATACCTGATGATACCGGCAGAAGTGAGACCATATACACAACCGAAAATCTGGCAACAATGTTGCACTGTTTTGTTTTCTTTTGTTTGTAAAACCTGGCGATCACGCGGACAAATCTATGTTTGGCGAAGGCACTGGAAGCAGCGGAGATCTTTGACACCTGGATGCAAGTCTTGAGGCGGGTAGTTGAAGCAATATGGGCAAAGCTTGTGGTCCTTTCCCGTCTCTCGATTTCGAATGTGAATCACCTGGAAGCTGCAGATTGGGCACCTGTGGTTGAAGGGAGTAAGCACTTGAACAGCTTTGGATGGTACTGAAAGGACCATTCCACAGCCACCATTGGGGCAAACCAAGAACCTCTCGCTTCGCGGGTCTCGAGCTGCTCCGCCTGCTCCGCCTGCACCGCCTGCACCGCGTCCTCGTCCTTTGCCACGTCCAGCTCTACCAGCTCCACCTCTTCCGCGTGCAGCGCCCCTGCCACGAGCACGGCCCCGCCGACCACCAGCTCCACCAGCTCCACCAGCTCCACCAGCTCCACCTCGACCATGCCCTGGACCACCTGGACCACCTGGACCACCATCTGCCCGTCCACCACCATCTCCCACAGCTGTGTGACATCGCAGTTCCAAACTTGCACCGCAACGGCATCCCGAGAAAGCAGCTTGCAACACTGGTGCTCTCCTCACCACCTCAGAACGACCTGCAAAGTGTTGACTCAGGGCCTGATCCAGAGCTGGCGCATTGCGCTCAAGTGCTATGTAGCAGCGCTGAGCGATATCCAGCGCTTCTCGTAGAAAGTCCTCTCGTTGCAAGCGGCCTTGGGCAATCGCTTCCATACCACGCTCCATGCGTGCACGAAGTACTGGCTTCGACAAATCCATACCTTCTTCGAGCGCAAAACGCTGGTATCCTTCGACCAACGCGATGCCCAAGCGAGATGGCTGCAAACGTCCGTCTGCATTCTTGATTGCATAGAGCCTGCTCTGGATCTTTTGGATGTGGTCATGCATGGTTGCATCGGTTCCGATTTTCTCCCTGTCCATCAGTCCGATCAATTCTGCTTCAGTCAGAAGTTGAGGAGGCTGAGTAGCAGATTCAATCATGTCAAGCACTGAGAAGGGCAAAACTTCGTTGATTTGGAAAGGAGGCAAAACATCTTCCACCCAGTTGGAGTAAGGATAGACATCTAGCCAGCCTCGGTCATGCACGATGACTCCAGCCTTGACAAAGAACTCCCCTGCACATGAAATCTCCACTTCGGTCCGACTTCCCCTAGCATCAGGAGAACAACATGCCAAGAAGTGCCGGGTGATCAGCTCATAGATTCGCCAGGACTCATCAGTGATCTCGTGTCGCTCACAGCGGCGTACTGGATGGATAGGAGGGTGCGCATGGTCATCATTAGAACCAGCTCGTGGTGATGTGAAACGCCCAGCCAACAAGGTCTGAGCGAATGCTCCCCACACGGTGGATGAGGTTTGCACTTGAACCAAGCCACGAACATCAATTGTCGCTTGAAAACCTTGTTTGCCGATGTTTGCCAACAGGCTTGATTAAATCATATTAAATCTAGCAAAACCATGCCACACCTGTCATGGAAGGGATACAGTAGGTGGTTCTCTACATACTGCAGACCGAACCTGCTATAAAAATCACCTTATAAATCGTTACCTTTTTGACGCAATTCCATGTAATTCCTGGCAAGAGGCGATCTGTTTCTGTCCGAGGATAAGAGATGAAACCTTTTTGGTAGAGCTCCTCCGCTAGCTGCATGCATCGTTGTGGTGACATGTGCAGCTTCGACGCGGCCAACTTTGTCATCTCCACAGTGTTCAATGGCAATGGCCTCCATCGGCTCTTTGGCTCTTCGGAAACATTCACCTTCAGAAAAAATGGGAAAAGCCTGGACAAAATGCATGCCCTACAATACACATGAGCCACATGTCTACAACTGCGTAGAAACCAATTTGGCACATTATGAAAGGCATCAAAAGTGCAAGAATAATCAACGATATGTTCAAAATACAATATTATATATACCTTCATAGCTTTTAACCTTCTTTTTTCAGGGTTGCTCAACATAAGTAGGGTTATTTTTAAAAAAAGTAGGGTTTTATCATTTCCCCCATAATGACCATTTATCATAAATTATGTTAAACCCCATTGTGGAAGGTAAACATCAATGAAGGTGATCAACAATCTATATAAAAACGTTCAAACATATATACAGTACAATTTATACATGTATACAAAAATGTTGACACGCATATTATATCATATTATATTATATACATATTACATGTACATCAATTATATACATAATATGTAGAGAAAGTCATTGTATATCATTGTATATGATCCAAGTGATTCGAAATGACTCTTCTAATTGCTCCGGGATCAGATGTGTCCCACGTCCGCGCTCCTGGCGCTGTTTGGAGAGTATAAACTAGGGCGGAACTCCTGGTTGCGCCAACATTTGGGTTCTCCTCAATGAATGGGATATGAATGGGAAATGAGAAAGCATGATAAAACATGATAAAACATGATAAAACTAGGTTGAGACCAGAAGATGATGGGGATGAGGTAAAATTGCTGGAGGAATGTGCACACCAAGCACCAAGGCACCACCATTGCACCGTTCGGCGATTGCTCCACCACCAACTCAAACAAAGCGAGAACCGCGAGACGATCAAACAGCCTACCACGTCGCCATCCAAACGGAATAGCTCGTCCTTGTTTTTGTATCTCTGCTTTGATTGTCCAAAAGGCTTCTGGCACAAAGCGTTGGATGCGCAGAAAGCGCTCTACAACAAAGCCAAGTGTGGGAAATTGGCACGGTCCATAGCTCAAAGTCTCTGCTGCAAGCTCTGGGAACATCGGTTGGTATCGCAAAGACATCCAGCGTGTGAATGCCGAACCAGCTCGAAGGTCAAACAGCTGCCGAGCTTCCACAGCATCTGCCAAACGCCGATCTGGTGCTCGAAGGTTTCGGCACGCCGCAGTGAGATCTGCAGCAGTCAAGGCCGAAAAAACGGCGCGGAAAACGCGGAGACGTCCACCTGCAGCTTGCTGACAAGTCTCAATGACCTCGAATGCAATGGCTTCACCTTCCCTATCACAATCCAACCACAAGACGAGCCATTGGCATTGCCTCGCGAGGTCGTGCAACATGCGTGCCAGGTCTTCTTGAGGCGCCTTTCGTTGTACAGGCGCTTGAAAAAGAACTGCTGGATCATGCGCTTTCCAGACCTTGTACTGCGCTGTAAAGTCGAGCTCCAACAAATGCCCCCGCACAGCGGTGACCACCATTTTGCATGGGGTCTGCTGCAGCGTGAAAGGGAACCTGAAGCGCACATGGCCCTGGAGGGTTAAACATGTTTCAGGATGTTGAAGGCATTTTCTTAAACTTATCTCAACGTACCCTTCAAAATTCTCAAGAATCTCAAGTGCACCTTAAGTGCCTTTCCTCGCGTCATCTTTTGACAGCATCGACATTTTCTGCGACCGATGCAAGTTTAATCTCAGAAAGCTGGTGTTCCATGGTGTTCCAGGTTTCGTGGTCCTTCATTGATATCTCATGGCTGACTACTGTGTAATTCTGGGAAAATCTGGCTCGGTACTCGTCTTGCTTGCATCGCTCTCAGATCAAAGCACTTGTTCATAAATGAAAACCCAATGGAACAACATGGAATACACAATAATACACAACAATACGACCAAGGGACTCTGTGACTTGCACTCCATGGCTGTTCCTCCTAGATGTATTCTGCCCTCCCAAATGCTTGGTAATCTCACGGGCGACTGAGGGCTTCTCCGCAACATTAAGCACGCGGACTTGCGGCGGCATGGCATCTGCAAAGCCATCAACGTAGAAGAGTTGCAAAGATCTGCTGTAGAGATCATCTTAGATGAGCTACATGCGGGTGCCTGTCCACTTAGCAATTGTGTGGGCCGCTCAGGCTCAGACGAGGACAAAACAAAACAGGTTTGAACAAACCCTTGCAAAATCATGGCTAGTACTGCATGAGGTGAAGTTGCCCATTGCTTCTATATATAGGAGTTTTGGGTGCGCTGCCTTGTGTTTCGTCACCAATGATCCTTAATGTCATTAGTTTCTTTTGCGGTTCAGATTTCTCCAGGAAATACAAGGTGCATCATCGACAAGAGAAATCGTTTAAGGAATGCAAAAGGCACAATAGGATCTCAGTCTATCTCAGTCTCGCACACTGATAACATGGGATAACATTGCAAATGGCCACATCGCAGAACATGCAAACTCGTATTGAATGCGTGCGCAGTCTATGTCTATTCGATTCTATTTGCATATGCAATATGCGTATTGTAGAGTAATGTCAACTTGGGATGCTCTGTAGGTATGCCGTGAAGTGTCCACTTAGTCACTTGGGATCCTCTGGAAAACGAATGCTCCTATCAAAAATGGTCCAAACGCAAAGATCGCAAAACTGTGACTCATTTTATACTCGCTGTACTTGCTCTAAGTTGGGTACGTTGATCTCTTGGAACTCTGCTTCTGCCCAGGAGATCAATCCTTGGAAAAACGAACTATCATCACAACATGATCAGCGATGGCATGTTTCGATAAGCTTCAGGATTGCTCGGTGGTACTCAAACGGTACAAACAATGACTGGACTGACTTTTAGTGGAAGGCAGAAGCAAATTATCCTGGCAAAAGATGGGAGAAATTGAAACGCATATCGATGCTCCGATGTATCAGTAATACGTGGATTCCTGACATGCCACCTGTTCTGCACTCAGCTTAGGCTCTCATGTCTGCAACTCGGATGCCAATAGCTTTGGCAACCTCAGTCTCACAAGTAAGTAAAAACAGTATAATAAAGCAGCATGTATTCTCGCCTATCCCCAGTGTTTTGTCCGGTCTCTTGCCACTCTTGCTAGTCAAACTGCAGCTTTTTGAGAATCAACAATGATGTTGGAACTGCATGACACAGAAATACCATAGATACCTCCCTCATCCTCCTATCATCTTGAAGGAGCCAAAGCAGCAAATTTCATGTACAAACATGACGCGAATCATTGTACAGGCGCCTGGATGGCCAAGAACTCCGCTGCAGCGGTCATTCTCCTTATTGCTGGGATGGGAACCATTCGTCAAAGTAAGGCCCGCAGCCAATTGCAACGTACTTTGCAACGTCCCTTGTTATGCTGCATTGTTATTGTTTTCGACGTCCACAAGCTTTGCGGGCAGCGGGGCATCTCTCAAGTTCTCGCCCAAAGCATGCCAGGAGACAAGGTAGACAAGTACCAAAAGCACACAACAGAAACCGTCTGCGCTGTGACGAGTTGCTGTTTCTTCAAAACCAGAACACCTTCTCCAACATGTAGCAATGTCACACCACCAGAGCCACCCTCCACGTGAAGTGCTCCTGCTGAAATGTCCCGAATGCTCCACTGTCTCATTCTGTCTTGAAGATGCCATCACCGATACATCACCGATACATACTGATACTCTCTTGAACATTCTTGAACAACCAACCGTTTAAATTAATGTTTAAATTTATCTTCAACACATCTCATTGGTGGCAGCACAGCTGTTCAGCATGCCTTCGCACTGCTGCCAGTCTACGTGGAGAGGCGCTGGTGACAAAGACCGCCACTTTCGGTTGTCCTGCTCCACCTCAACACGCTCACGTACCCAATATATCCCAAGCTCACCTTCCAGTACCCTATATATATATATGTATATATATATAGATGTGTGTGTCCCAATACTGCTGGAGTCTCCCTACGCACAGCGGCCAATCTACTTTGTTCATTTCAAGATATTTCAAGTATCCAGGTCACTGTCTGCCAATCCAAGGTGCATCAACGGTAGGCCGTTCAGGTGGAAAGCATCTCGTGCATTTGCCTACCTCAGAAAGAAAATGCATGAGCGCGTAGAAAAGTCAACGAAAATTCCAGTTGCTTGAAATATCAGACGAGGGGCAGCAGCTGTATATTCACTGCCACAGACTTCGCCTAGGCTGTGTTGCAGTGTATAAAAAGGAATTTCGCGTGAGACCGGATAGACGGATAGAGCAAAGGTTGAAGGGCCAAAGGCAGGCCAAAGGCAGTGAACGGCATCAGATTCTAAATGCGATCTAAATGCGATCTTAGTGGCAAGTCTTGTGAATTGCCATCTTAGCCTTCAGCTGTTCCTGCTTACATGCTTGACATCGATCCAAACATGTTTTCTTTGACCGCCGCAACCCCACCTACTTGCACCTGATATTACTGATGAAACGGCAAAAACTCGCCACGCATCGTCATAGACTGACGTAACACCAAGGTGCATGAGAGCACGGCGTTTTGTTAAACCAAACATGACCAAACTAAATGCAATGTCTCTTCTCCAACTCTCTCCTTCCAACTGGGCAAAGGCAAAAGTTCTTCCAAAATGGATTTCACTTTTAGATCCAGTTCATGACGCTGTCGTGCTCGGACATGCTGCTTTGCCTGCGGGAGCACTTCAGCCCTGGAAGGATGGATTT